TTGCTGATTTTTAGAAGATGTATAAAGTCTGTAGTCCTCAAGTTCATACAGGTGTCCTTGCAAGTGTAGTTCATCACTTTAACGGGACTATGTGTAACTTTTTATGTAATTTATTATTTAAAATCAATATTTTTATTCAAAAATATGTCCTTGATGGTGTACAAATACCTCTGCCATTTATCTGACTTATCCTCGTAAACGAAGAACTTATTATGGGACAGGTAAGTCCACCGAGGCTTCCATGTAGTTCCGCCATCTTGAAAAACTATAATACAGAGAGGGATATGATGTCCTAGGCAAACACGTTTCCACAACGTAAGTTTAAAAACTGCATTGCAAATCCTCGTTGCCAGAAAAGTCCAAAAAATAGATTGTAAAAGTGAACGTGACCGAAGATTACAAAACACGCGAGTTAATGTCGGGATAGCTTTTTCCAGGTGGATAGAGGAGAAAGAGTTCAAAAGAGATGCTGAATAGAGGTCCTAAAAACTGTACCCGACTCAAATCGACCCGAATCATTACTTACCCGAACACGACGTGCATAAATTATTTTTTTTTACGAAAAACCCGACCCGAGACAGACCCAATAAAATTAGACCCGAGTCCGACCCGACGTGACGCCATTTCCTTTAGAACCCAACTGGACCCGAAAGTAAACGGCATTTACATTGTGCACAGCCTGCAGCCCTGCGTTTCTCAAAAATGCACTTAACATTGATGTGCAAGTGTAAGCGCGCTGAGTGCTAAAATGTCACATCACTGTAACCCTTTACGTCCTATAACATTTGCCATAATGTTATTTACCGGACCATACGATGATTAGAACCACCACAGGGTAAATTTTACCGATGGCTGTTTTAAAAATGTAGCCTATAACAAATTTTCAATCAAATTCTCCCAGTCATTGATTTTTACTAAAATTGTGTTATTTAGCCTACAATTTTATCTAAACAACTACAAAAGTTGTTTAGATAAAATTTGATTAAAAACAGGGCATTAGAACTGCAATAGCAGGTCTTCTTCTTGGGTTGGTTTATGTGGAGCAAGCAACTGAGTAAATAAATGTGGAGGCAACCGTGCTTATGCTTATAGCCCATTGCACGTAAACGTGCGGATTCGCTCTCTCACTTAAAAAAAAAGTCAGAGAACGGTGTAATGGAGTTGTTTTAAATACTGCAATTTTGTTAAATGCCCAACATTGTTTAAAAGAATTTGGGACGGGTCTTCTTGGGTCCATTTGGAAAAGGCATATTTATTTTAAGTGACCCGAGACCCGAGGCCACTAATAGACGAATCCGACGAGCGTTCTGTGTAGGCTGCCATCTTGTGGCGACGCCATTACTGAGCTGTTACACCGGCATAGACATATGCACCGGTATGTAAACAAACCTCGGTGATAACGCGAACTCACCCTCGATGACAGCTACAGCCAGGCAGAATGACTTGTTGGGTTGATGATGTTAGACCTTGGCCTCCAGTCACAGATGAAGGTACAAACGATTTTTACGGATTATTTATGAAAATAGCTTGGCAAGCAAGCTAGGCTAACGTTTGCTAACGAGGAAACTATAAAAAGATCTGTCCATTTGGCAACAATAAATAAATAAATGAATGAAATCAAATAAACAAATTCATGTTTTTCATTTGTGTCCATTATTTATCTCATTTTCACATTTCAACGGGCAAGGGTAAGGTAACGTTATAGCTGGAAAGTATACATAATATAGACCAATTACTGTTTTTAAACCATGGAAAGAGGTCAATATAACAGCAGGAGAACAATTATGTCGCATAACGTTACATTTAGCTCAGGAAAGCCATTTAATGACCATAGCATGTTAATTGAATAGAAAAAATAGCAAGAGAGGAGATTTTGCTGATCACTATATCACATATTTATTATATATTTTTTAATTATGTCATTAGATAATTGTTATTATACACGAATATCTGCGTCTTGTACTCGCTCAGGAAATCTGTGTAAACCGTACGGCACCGGACAGGGGCAGTCGACCCGGGGTATTCACAATGTTTTCTCTTCAAAATTGAAATTTTACTGCCACCACCATTGAAACAATTTATAACGGAAACTGTTTAACTACTCGACATTATACAAGGGGTAACGTTGTAACGTTATTGACAGTCGTAAATCGCGGGCTGTTTATTCCAGTGGACGCAAGTTGCAACTAAAACAATAGAAGGCAATGGCGCAACGCTACCCAGCAACAGCTCAGTAATGGCGCCCGCTTACTTCCGGTAGTTTCGCCGGATTCGTCTATACCGAACCCGACCCGTGTCCGAGACACTCGTTGGAGTTTTGGACCCGAACCCGCTCGGGACTCGGGTCGGACCTTGGGTTTTCGGATCCAAGTGGACCCGTCAAGACCTCTACCGCTGAAGACCTGTTTTATTCTTCACAGTTAAGGCAATGTTACTGTCTTAATTACAAGCTTTTTTTCATTGTTTGGTTGTGTACTTTATTATACACAGATGAACATTTATAGTTAAAAGTTGATGATGATATCTAATGCATGTAGGCTACTTCAGAAAATATAATGAATAAAGAAAGCTTAACTACTTATTACAATAGTTCATGTTTTTCACAGTCAGTAATTCATTAGGTAACATTCGTTTATTCATTGTGTCAAGTTGCTGTTTGTTTGAAATAACAAACCTGTGCACCTGAAGGAACACTCGACGAAGTGCTAATCCTGTCGTAGCTTTTTCGTACATGATTACCATAGATGCAACGCGCATTCGAAAAAGCGAGGCGCTGGAGAGCACAATTCGTTTGAATGCAAAATACATTTTCACCACTAGATGGCAGCAATTCCTACACAATGTCCCATTAACTATCAACATGTTCCACTAATCACCACAAAGAGGCACAATATTTGTTGTTTTCATACATGGCAGTGTTACCATTTCTAATGCAACTTCACTTAAAGTAAATTACACTTTGGTTTGACGTTTTTTGTTAATCTAATGCAAGGACATTCAGACATTATAAGAGTGGTTTAAGCATAAGATAACATTTGTGTGCAATGTGCATGCATGTCCTCCTCTTTGTTGTGCATTTCACTTCTACCCTAGCTTGTGTACTAATATTATATAATAATAATAATAATAATATATATATATATGTGTGTGTGTGTGTGTGTGTGTGTGTGTGTGTGTGTGTGTGTGTGTGTTTTTGTGATGTTCTTTATCAAAACCATCTGCTATATTAGTGTGTGAGCTTGTGAGTGTGTAGCCTATTGATGTGTTTTTCTGTGTACTCTCACCTCTCCCAACTGAAAATGAATCATCTGCCTCTATTTCAGGTCTTATGTGGAAAATGCAACTTCACCCAAACCACCATCACGTCTTTTCATTTCTCTCAAAGTAAAACAGTCTCCCTCTCTCTGTCTCTATCCCAGCCAGACTGCTCCACCCTGTCCCACACACACTGGCAGCAGCTGAAGTCACATCAGCATTCGGCCCTCATCTGCCTCAGTTTGTTGTAAACGTGCCAACAGATGGACAGTAACAAGCATCTGTGAGTGTTTGAGACTGATGCAGGATGTCCAGAACACCGCAATAACCTCATTACAGCTGATTAACAATATTATCACATATTATCTGTGTGTAATGAGCTCACAGAGCCATTCAGTCACACTGTGTGAAAGTCATGGAAACTGAATACAATATTTAAAATAAACCATTCTGTTTGTTCTGTTTATTCCAGTTCTTTTTTTAAGTATGCAATTTTGTTCATAATGCAATGCAAAGATGATTGAGAGATGTACAAATAAACAATCCTCAAAATCCTGATGAATAGTATTTGAAACTCAAATTGTAACGGCTTTTCTAAAGGAAAAAACTAAAATCGGCTATTATTTTTGTTTCACTCCAGATTTCTTCCATTCGTTGGACTTTACGCTTAATAAGTTTTCTCAACTATTCTGCTATCAAATTACTCTATTCTATTGGTTCAACTTGTATTCTATTATATTTAACTATTTTATTTTTATACTCTTTATGTTTTATTTCACGAGTAATCTTGTTGTTAAAGCAAAAAACTAAAATGTTGTTTTGAGCTATAAAATATTTCCTATTTTGTTTTAGTTCACTATGCAATTTGGTTACATTCATTATTTTATCCAGCTGCTCTATTCTATTAGTTCCACATTATCTTATTCATGTATGCACTTATCCTATTTGCTTCAAGTCAAACTAATATTCAGATACTCTATTGTATTCATTAAAATTCGTTTAACTTTACTTATTTAACTTCTATTTTATTGGTTTAAACTAAACCAGTATTCAATTGTTTCGTTTTAATTACTAGCCTATTCTATCAGTTTTACTTCACTCATATCATATTCTATTCTGTTCTATTTACATGAAACACAGTTATAAAGACAATGAAGTCCTGAGTTTGATCGGTGTGTCCTGCAGTTTTTTTCCTCATAAGTTCAGATGAGATGAGGGGGGGAATTCCCACCTTCAGTTTTTCCTACTGTATTCTTATTTACCATCGTATCCATGGTTTCTTTCCACCTAACAGTTAGCCTAACTGCAATATTATCAGCACTGCAAAACCGTAGTACAATAATAGGGTCTCTTCAATGTGAGAAAGCTTTCAGAACCTTTTTTGTCATTTTGACCACCCCATTCATTAAACTGTTGTAGCAGGGGCATTTTGACCAGCAATGTGGTACATTTCTGTGAGGATACGCCTATCGTTTCAAACAAAAAGAGACCGATTCATTTTAAATACAGCTTATAGCATTTTTAACGAATCATCAATTAAAGCATACCAAAGTATAAGTTCCTTTAAGTTCAGATTCAGGTCGATTTTGTAACTTTGTATCAGCTCGTCAAATCTGTTCCAAGAGATTAATCGTGTTTTTTTATTATTTTAAATCCGTTATGGGTAAAAAACAACAACAACAACAACAACAAACATTGCTAATAAATGTCAAATGTAAACATTTCTGAAAGACAGCTGGACTCACCATCACTTCACGCGACCGTCCGGACTGACTACATCTCTCTTAATTCTGTTTCTGAACATCCACATCAGACAAACGATCCCTTTGCTCGAATTAAACCGTCACTTCGGTGTTTCTCAGTCTGAAGTTTTGTGAAATGCGGGAGTCTGATGGTGGAGGGAGGGAGAGAGAGAGAGAGAGAGGCATGTCAGTCCCTCCCATCTGCTGAACAAGAAGATCTACAGAGAGTCGCAGTCATTCTTTCCACTGTCCTCCACTGCCATCAGCTGCATAAAGAAACAAGAAACACTGACCATCTACTCGAGTTTTGTAGGCTACTTGATGCATTTAGCCTACATTTAGTTATGATTATTTATTAGCCTCAAAGCTGAAACATTTAAGTCATTTCGTGTCAGATAATCTGCGACCACTAATAATTTTGTGAAATTTTGACAGGGTGGAATCTACTTGTAAATTCACTGATTTAGATCAATGCTGTAGCCTATGGCACAAACACATACCGTTATTTAATAAAAACATGAGAAACGTCTCCATCTGGTGGTCAACAGTAAAAATTACATTAAAGGGTTAGTTCACCCAAAAATGAAAATTAAGTCATTAATTACTCACCCCCATGCTGTACCAACCCCGTAAGACATTTGTTCGTCTTCGGAACACAAATGAAGATATTTTTGATTAAATTTGAGAGCTGTATAACTACCACATTGGCTCCTAAGGGACTGCCTCTTGACGGCCCAGAAAGTCAATGAAGAAAATGTTTAAATATCCCAAGTGACTACCGTGGCTCAACTATGTTTATCAAGCGACGCGAATACTTTTTGTGCGAAAAAACAAACAAAAATAATGAGTTTATTCGACTATTTCTTTTCTTACTTGTAGGCCAGAACGAGACTTAGATTTCCACGACGCATGCGCGAGATTTGCGATCTGCTTACACCAGCTTACACCACTTCAGATCGCAATTCTCGCGCATGCGTCGTGGAAATCTAAGGTCTCGTTCTGGCCTACAAGGAAGAAAAGAAATAGTCGAATAAACTCGTTATTTTTGTTTGTTTTTTCGCACAAAAAGTATTTGCGTCGCTTGATAAACATATAGTTGAGCCACGGTAGTCACTTGGGATATTTAAACATTTTCTTCATTGACTTTTTGGGCCGTCAAGAGGCAGTCCCTTAGGAGCCAATGTGGTAGTTATACAGCTCTTCAAATTTAATCAAAAATATCTTCATTTGTGTTCCGAAGACGAACGAAGGTCTTACGGGGTTGGTACAGCATGGGGGTGAGTAATTAATGACTTAATTTTCATTTTTGGGTGAACTAACCCTTTAAAGGAGAGGAGAAGTATGCTTAAAGGGATAGTTCACTTTGAAATTAATTTTTGATATGTTTTAGCTTACCTCAAGGGCATCCAAGATGCTAGGTGTCTTTGTTTCCACAGTATTTTCAATTTTGATATTTTTAGGTCAAACCGTTGTTGTCTATCTGTCATATAATGGAGATTTATGGGGCCCACCTCAAAGAGCATGTACAGAGATGTCCAAATTAAACATGATGTAATGACTCGTAAATGTAAGTACACATTGATGGCCTAAGACACGACACAAGCATTTTTCTCTTCACCCTGACAGTGTGTGTGACACTATTATAATGAATAGCCTTTCTTGTGGCTAAATTATTTGAGAATGATGCTACTAGCCTGTCTTCTCGGACTCTCTGTGAGTTCATGGTGATTATGCACTATATGCACCCCAGGCACTTGCCACTTGGGACTTTGGTGTTGGATCCCATGCACGGCGTTTTGCATAGTGTTCCCCTAGTTTAAGATATAGAGCATCACAGTCCCACCACAGTGGCTCTGATGTCATAAATAAGTGAAAACTACTATGTATGTCATTATTACATCCTATCCCACAACAGAACACTTCCAAGAGACAATACCGGCTGTCGTTAAAACAATGGAGGATGGTGTACAGATCACAGAGGGCGGGGTCTATGCCACAACCACAGTGTCAATCAAACCCCTTGCTCAATTCTACGTCACAAAGCGCCGAATCTTAGAACAGCTCGTTCTGAGACAGTGCTTATGATTTATTAAAATTGTAAAAAAAAAAAAAAAAAAAACACTGGGTTGATTACTATCATTCTAGGGTTGTTTTACTCACACACTGTCAACACACATTTATGTTCAAACACCATGTAAAAGTGAATTTTCCATAGTGCCCTTTAAAACTACTGTAGCTACGGCTGTACTAAGTGATTGTATTCTCATATAAACGGCAAAAGTTCATGGGGCACTAACCTTGTTTTAAAGGAGAACTCCGGCGAACAATGAACATTTGGTCTAATAAAACATCGGTAGTCAATCGTTCTCTGAGATTTGTTTTCATGATAATCGAATGTAAAGAGTTTTATCTCTAAAAACTGTTTAAGCGTATAATGCTAGCAATGGGTAGCCTGGCTGCGCCCGCCTACGCACTTCCGCTCAATTTCATTTTCCTTCAGTACTGCGTCTGGGACCGCTCCATATCCTTAGGTTTCCAGAAATCAATTTTTTGTAGGACCAATCAGCGAATAGAGGGAGTGGCTGAGAACGAAGATGTTGATGTAGTGCGTCAGTTTGAGTGCAGTAATGGCAGCGGAGAAAGACGTGAGAAAAGCTATTCGGTCCGTTGTTGGAAAAGAAACTGCCGAATATACAGAATTTAAAGCCGGATTGTTTTCGTCTCACCTCAATTTGCACAACGGAGGACCAAGTGAAGGAGGCAGAAAGGTTGGAAGTTTGTGCTGGGCAGCTCGTGCACACCGTGACATTTTGGACTTTAGCCTGGTGTTCGCGGTGTTCGGAAGCCCCGAGTCCTGGCTGCTAAACTATTGTTGAAGATCCGCTCAGGAGTCATGTCAGTCGCTCAGATTCCCAACAGTAAATTTACTGATTCTTGTGATGAACATTTTGAGCCCCTTTGTGCACTCGTGCAGGAGGTTGGTGTGTCAGTTTTACATGTTGTAAATCATACAAATTGGTTGTAATTTAAAAAAAAAAAAATTGTCATAAATAAAAATTTGAAAACCCATACTTTGGAGACTATATTTGATTTTCAGTTTTAGATGTCAATGGTTAATTTGTTTTAATAAAAAAACAACTAAATGCCATATAAAAATGTACAAACACATACTTTGAAGACCATAATTAAGGTAATTAAGAAACAAAAATACGTAATATGAAAAATTGTTGTTTATTACACATCTGCAGACAGACTGATCATTCACTACGAGGCTGACTCCAGCTCCTTTTTCGCCAGCTCCTTATTCGCCGAACTATACGTTCCACCTTAAAAAATGTTGGATGGTTGTTAACCCCTCCCCTCGGTGCTTTTGCCGTTTTTCTTAAAGGAACAGTCGAATGGAAGTCTGTTGATCGGGCAGCATTTGTCAAGAAAGGAGAAAAGTGACATTGTTTCTAACTGAGAATTAATGTTATGTAAATTATATTCTTTTTTTAGAAGCTATCCATTACTCCAGTCTAATATATATATATATATATATATATATATATGCAAATAGTCTAATATATATATATATATATATATATATATATATATATATATATACATACATAATGAATATGTATGTTTATATATATATATGTTTATATATATATATACATAAATAATGAATATGTATGTATGTATGTATATATATATATATATATACAGTATATACACACACATATATATAATAGACTGGAGTAATGGATAGCTTCTAATAAAGAAAATAAATTACATGACATTAATTCTCAATTGCAAACATAATGAAAAAAAAAAAAAACCTGGAATGCAGGTATAGATAAATTCATTATTAAACGAAATCCTGCATTACAACATTTTTTGATGTGTTATTGTTGAAATACGACACCCAGAACATGGCCCACCATCGCAACTATATGTGCCAACAGACCATATTGGAGGTGTTATTTCTTTATTTTTTCCAAAGTTCTCAAAAAAAGGGGATCGTAGGGGTATAAATCAATCCATTCTTAAACCAAATCCTGCATTACAACATTTTCTGATGTGTTATTGTTGAAATATGACACCCAGAACATGGCCCACCATCGCAACTATATGTGCCAACAGACCATATTGGAGGTGTCATTTCTTAATTTTTTCAAATGTCCTCAAAAAAAGGGGAACGTAGAGGTATAGATCAATCCATTCTAAAACCAAATCATGCATTACAACATTTTTTGATGTGTTATTGTTGAAATACGACACCCAGAACATGGCCCACCATTGCAACTATATGTGCCAACAGACCATATTGGAGGTGTTATTTCTTTATTTTTTCAAAAGTTCTCAAAAAAAGGCGAACGTAGAATTATAGATCAATCCATTCTTAAACCAAATCATGCATTACAACATTTTCTGATGTGTTATTGTTGAAATACGACACCCAGAACATGGCCCACCATCGCAACTATATGTGCCAACAGACCATATTGGAGGTGTTATTTCTTTATTTTTTCCAAAGTTCTCAAAAAAAGGGGAACGTAGGGGTATAGATCAATCCATTCTTAAACCAAATCATGCATTACAACATTTTTTGATGTGTTATTGTTGAAATACGACACCCAGAACATGGCCCACTATTGCAACTATATGTGCCAACAGACCATATTGGAGGTGTTATTTCTTTATTTTTTCAAAAGTTCTCAAAAAAAGGTGAACGTAGAATTATAGATCAATCCATTCTTAAACCAAATCATGCATTACAACATTTTCTGATGTGTTATTGTTGAAATATGACACCCAGAACATGGCCCACCATCGCAACTATATGTGCCAACAGACCATATTGGAGGTGTCATTTCTTAATTTTTTCAAATGTCCTCAAAAAAAGGGGAACGTAGAGGTATAGATCAATCCATTCTAAAACCAAATCATGCATTACAACATTTTTTGATGTGTTATTGTTGAAATACGACACCCAGAACATGGCCCACCATTGCAACTATATGTGCCAACAGACCATATTGGAGGTGTTATTTCTTTATTTTTTCAAAAGTTCTCAAAAAAAGGCGAACGTAGAATTATAGATCAATCCATTCTTAAACCAAATCATGCATTACAACATTTTCTGATGTGTTATTGTTGAAATACGACACCCAGAACATGGCCCACCATTGCAACTATATGTGCC